ATTGTAATATATGTATATGTGTGTATGCATTGTATTGTTGACTTGTTGTTCTAAACACGTTATTGTGATAAATATCATCACATGCCTCGGTAGTTGAAAGAATAAGATGTCTGCCCGGTAAGCAGGAGATCCAGGTTTGATTCCTGGCTGAGATGGTATTTTTTCGCATAATTATGAGTTTTCACGACTGGTTCATGGTCGGGCCCCGTCGTGACGTACACCCTCCTTTCTTATTTGGGATCAACAATCAAAAAGTGATTGTTGATTTCCTTCCTCTAGTCTTTTTTCTTCTGATTTTCTTTCTTCTTGAGGTTTTCGTTTGGCTAGATGTAATAATAGATTTGTGACTGAGTCCCAAAGCGCTTCGATGAGATATATTGACCATAAATTGTGTAAAGTGCATAGCCATGAATTAGTGTCTATTATTAATTTGATTGTTCTTATGCAGAAATATAATCCAATTAGTCCTGCACTTGCGTTTTCGATAGATAGGAATGTTCCCCAAATTTTCTTCCATGCAGATTCGGTAATTTTATATAGAGAGTTTTCATCGAGAAGATGAAATAGTGATATTCCTTGAGATAAGGTCGGTTCTCCTATTACACCACGGGCCATCGTGTTTAAAATTCCGTTCCTCTCTGCTGGAAACATAATATGGTCTCGTAAATTTTCGAGTTCGCTGTTTGTATATATGCCGCTTGCTGCCAATGATCCAGGATCGTTGTATTGCCAAGTCGGTTTCGTCATTAGTGTTAGTTTCAATAGAGATTTGTTGTATTCCAGAATTGATGTAATTTTATACCATCCGTCGTTTAAATAATACATTGTTGGAATTATTCTGCTGCAAGTGATTTGCGTTCCGGTTTTGAAAAGAATATGAGTTCGTGGTGCTAAAAAATATGTTTCATTTCCTTTTAATACTGGTAATTGTTGACAACATTCCTTCGTATGATAAATTTTAACTTCGACTGGAGTACATTTGATTATATGGACGACTTCTCCTAATATTGCTGCCATATATCCAGGTCCTTTCATAATTTGATATGTGAAATTGTTTGGAGCATGTGTGGCTATGCTAAGTGCATTTTTCATAATTTGTTGCTCCAAATTGCACCGTTGTTTAAGTACATCTGTGTATAAATGATTCATTTGTGTTTGTATATGTCTTTCTACGTAAACAAATTTTGAATTTACATAAGCAAAAATATCTAAATTTTCAACTGATAATTTTCGTTTTTGAATAAAAGTTCCTTCATTTTTAATTTCAAGAATTAATAATTTTGGATGTTCTGTTTTATTAAAGTATATCCGCTAAAGAAACTCTTCTCCAGTTTGAGTAAGCGCAAAAGTTATATCTTGAGTTGATAAGG